ATTGAATTTATTTCCGGCACCTTTGGCTAGCCGGCATTTATCCAAATACATGACCAGTCGTACCGATGCTTTTCGATAATGTCTTGTCCAGTTTGATATTTGAAGCTATTTTTAGATTATACGAGCCAATAAAATTCAAAAATGATACTAAACATCGAAAGCCTAGGCTAATATTGAGAAATCTTCGCTTAAAGTTTGAAAAATATATAAGTGGGAACGGAATTTACCGGTAAGTAGATTTGATTGTTAGGATAACTTTCCGTACTGTAATTGGTTGATCACATGAAATTGAATAACAAGTTATCATGCATCATGTGTAACTAACTAATCAAATTACATTATAGTAAACTTATCGCTTTTCACTTTAACAAAAATCTTTTTTAAATATCTACTGCATCTTTATACTTCTTTATCATGATTTTTAAATGGCTTTATCTATTTTTAAAAAAGTTTGATTATTGGTTTTTTTCCAATAACTCAGCTATATTTAACGGTCGAGTAATTACATAGTTCTATAGTTACAATATACATAAAAATCGCATAGTAACTGTTAGTGCTTCTTCGAAGATAGAGACGGGTTTAATTTTTATTTTTTATTTATGGAACATTACATTCTTAAAAAGTGCTTTAAACTGTATAAATACAACTGAAAGTGATTGACCAATCAGAGGAAAGTTATCCTAATAATGATCTACATCTATACATGGCGTAGAAATTATTTTAGTACAATTTCTACCTGAATTTTGGCATGCGGCATTGCCTAAATCCAAAATTTATGCCGCAATTGATGATCAAAACCGCATGCCAAAATTAGTGCCGCAAGTCTAAAAGTAGCCGAAAGCCTAAAAATTAATTACATCATCAATTAATCATATTTTGATTAATAAAATTTATAAAAACTGATTTTTTAATTGATTAAATAAAGTTTTTAAAATACTTTTTTAATTGATCGAATAATATTTACAAAAAATAAATAATATTAATAATTGTCAACAAATTCAAATTCTTTAACTCTAATGGCTTCATTTTCATCTGATTTCGTTGTTAATTCTCAAGAAGATACTATTCCCAGAAATTCAGCTGGAAGACCTCAAAAAGAAGTATAGGATTATATCCAAAAAGTTGCACCCAAAGATTGTGGGCACTATAGTGCAAAATGTACATGTGGTAAATCTTGGGCACGCAGAAAACCAAAAAATTTGGAAGATCATTTGGCCACAGAATGTACGAAAGTTAGCACTGAAGTTAAACAAAAATTCCTTCATATAGTGGCTGCAAGAAATCATACAAAGGAAAATGATAATGAAAGGGATACTGAAGAGGATTTTCCAATATTTAAAAAGGCTCGTACTAAAGAACCTCAAGAATTAAATAATTGGATTGAAAATTTTTCAAATTTACCTGAGAAAAAAAAAGAATGTGACAGAGCACTTTTAAAATTTTTTGTCTGTTGTGGGATCCCTTTTTCAATCGTTGAACATCCTTTTTTTTTAGAATTTGTTAAATATTTAAATCAGGCCTATGAATCACCTAAACAAACTTATTTATCAACAACTTTATTAAAAAGTAAAGTTGCTGATATTACTATAAAGATTGAAAATGAAATTGAAAAGGAAAAAAATTTAACAATTGGTAAGTACGTACGTTTGTATGTATTTATATATATATATAGTAATGTTCTTTATTATCTAAATATAGTAATATTTAATTAATTATATCTATTTATGGTATAGGCCTTGATGGATGGACGAACCCAATTGGTCAAAGCATCTATGCATACTTATTAATGACATCGAATAAAAAAAGAATACTTGTATAGTCTTCGCAATTATTCAAAGCAATCTCATACAGGAAAATTTCTTGCAGATGAGATTCAGGACATTATTGAAACAATCAGTGTAGAAAAATTCA